ATATATATATACATAGTAGAGATTAATAACCATCAAAAAACAATGATACAAATGATTCAACAATATCTTCACACTACGGATAAACAGTGTGACGACAGGCGTACATGACAACAGGTGATTCAGTAATTCATAACTTCCTGAAGCAACCTCATCTGACAACACATGGTTATTTGTTCAAACAGGGAGAGTCTACAGTGTCTCATCTGAAAAGAATGGGACGCTCCTCTGACAGGAAAAGTAACTCTGTCATCAGTGTAATTGTACTTTTACTGAAGTAGATGTTCGATTACTGAAGGAGTTCACTGTAAGGCTATTCCCTCAGAAAGTGTACAACTGTAGTACTTTAGCTTAAAGCTGCACTGATCAATGTTTCCATATCAAACAGTTGGTCAATTAATTGTTGCTTTCACGCCTAACCCGTTTGGTATTTAAGTATATAAGGTATATAAGTATTTTCCCGATTTGATATGGAAATAGCTGCTAAAACTGCTGTACTTGTATCAGGCTCCGCGTACATTGTCAGTTCATTAACTCCATTAAAAAGTGTGACAGCAGTTATCTCTACCTAGATCTGGTTGATCTGCTTCTTTGTGAAAGGACCTGTTATTCTGTTATTGCTTCTATTGTTTCTGTTTTTTACCATGTATAGTACCTTTTTAAAGCACGATACAAATATAACAATATCATTATAACAAACCCACAAATAATTCTCACAAAATCTGCAGCTCTACAGAACATTTTAGCCTCTTTTAGATTCATTGTTGTGGTTTGTCAGCACATTTACAAGCAGGTAGCTTTTCTTCAACAGGCTCTGACTGAAAACGACCTGCTTATTATCAAATAGATGAAAAGGTTAGCACCAAGCTGGTGTAGAACATGGAACAATTAAGCAGCTGAAGAGGCATATTTTCATTTTTGATGGATACCTAAACAAAGCTAAAAGCAGAGTGAATGTCATAAAATGAGCTGTAAATATTCATGCTCCCCAGAGGAATAACCCTAACACGTTTGGTGACCTGACCTTAATTGTAGCTCCAACATGTTGACTAAGTCTACATTTTTATACAAGAAATATCACAATGTAATGTGCGTCTTGAAATTGTCTGATGTCATTCCTGCTCTGCAGAGGATGAACCTTTTTTATTTTTATTTTCATGACACGCTCAGGACAAAGTACATTTTTGTTAGTTTAGGCCAACTCCTTTTTCGTATTTTGGAGTGTCATGACCACTGCACCATCTGGCAGCGTTTCAGACTTATCATTTTGGTACATAAAATTATTTTTGTGTGTGTGTGTGTGTGTTTGTGAGATATAAAGAGACAGCAGAAACAAGGCTTGAAAAGATCAAAGTCAACAAATGGGGAGAGAGAGCTGCAGACATGCTCCGCCCTCCTCATACCTGCCTGCTTATCAAGGTGCGTCTGACTTGGCGACTTGCCACAGTCACCAGGCCCCACCCAGACACTCCCTGGGGTGGGAATTAGGACTCCTGTGCATTGGGTGGGGGTGGGTGGGTGGTGAGGACTTGAACTCTGTTATCCAACAATGCAACCTCAGGTTTATTATTCCTTAGCGCCGACTTGACTGGACTCGATGTCTGAGTTCCTAAACTGTTAGTTTGTTTATATTGAGTTGCGTATCCAGCATTGAGACCTTAAATAGCCAAAGATCTGCTTTTTTGTTTTTTGGCCTAAATGTGGAAAGTTATGACTGTAGTCTGGAATGGAGACGCATTCTTTGTCCACATATTTAGTTCATCTTGTTTTCTTTAGTTTGGTGTTCACTTGGATGAGTTTGGTCCAGTTTAGTGGAACTTTTTTTCAACTAATTTATTTCAACCTTTTACTTATTGTAGAAGTCTGGGACTTGTTCCTTCATTCATAGCTTGTCTTTTTTTGTCACACACACACACACTCACACACATACACACGCACTCACACACACACAAATAAGAGGTTGAGTAAACTGATCAATCAGGCACAGAAACCCTGAAAAACTCTGGCCGGATATTAACCAGCAAACTCACATTCTCTCTCTCTGCTTGTCCATTCTGGTCAGTGGAGAGTTTGTAGTCAGGGTCATCTCCATGTACACAGTAGTGCAGCCCCCCCCCCCCCCCCCCCCCACACACACACACACAGGAACCCTCCTGTGGTCTGAGCTCAGTCAGGAGATGACTCTTGAGTCATCATGAACACCTCTCTCTCTCCAGGTCCGGCAGTGAGTATTTTAGAAACATTTTCCAGCTCAGAAGCTATTAAATAGCATCAAAACAGTGAGATGTTATTTTGAAAGTTAAAACAATTAGCCTCGTCTATTTACAGCGTTAAATACTCAGAGTTAACCTGTGGCACACATGTTTCACACAGCCACAGCCAGATGTATTTAGAAATCTACAGCTCCCAATAAAACATAGAAAAACTTGGTTTCATCCATAGAATGATGCAACGCTCTCTTATTAAGGTTTGTTTCCTCATTTGTGTTGCTTGTAATCTCCGCTGTCTAAACTCCTCTCCGTCCTGCTGTTACAGACTTGTCTCGAGTCAACGCGGCCTCCCTCGGGCCACGTTTACTTAAAGGAAGTTTTTTATTTGTAACAGTGGTAACCAACACTTTGCTCCTCACTAAGTGATACAGATAGCAGCATTGTATGAAGACGGGCATGTTTTATTTTCTAAACCTTGAACATTGTCAGGTTATGTCTGACAGTTCAGCCCTGTCTCATTGAAGTTACGTCTGAATACTTCTGATTTGTGTCCTTAATTACATTTTGCTGAGAAACAAATTAGCAGCATAGAAACTTAATTTAAAGAAGGCATTCATCAGCCACTGTTTTACTTCATAATGAGTTGTTGTTTTTTAAAGAAAGGACTTTGTTGGGTTGGGTTTTTTTCTCTTTGTCTTACCTCCATCGTCCTTTTAACAGCTAGGATTCCCACTCTCTGCTCCCTCATACTCCTGTCAGTGCATGTAATCTTTCTCGGGGGGATTAAAACACAATGGACTTGTTTTGATTGCATTTAATCAGACAACACAGGCTCACTGTGTCATGAAAACCCAGCCCACTCATGTTGTGAATAGATCCACTCATACGGCGAGTGAGGGAATTAATTGCCTGCTGTCCATCTGTAGTTTTTATAAATATGTATGAAGATTGATTTCCTCCTTTTTTAAGATAAAACCATACATGGGAGCCACCCGGGTGAGCCGCTTCAGCGCCGTCTCACAATGGCTCTCTGTGGTGGGTCTCGAACAGTGGTGGGTGGGAAGCTCCTACCAGCTCAGAGTCTGTTCAGTTGGCAGACTCGTAATGTGGTTACCAGCGCCTCAGAAGAATATTCAACATTTCTGATGTTCTACTATAGAGCACTTTGACATGTTACTGCTGAAACCAACTTCAAAATATTGAAAGTGTTCTCCACTTTGCTTAAACAAGAGGAAACATGCGGTTATGTGGTTTTACTTTTCTGACTTTCTTTTTCGGGACAAAGTCAGGGCGGCCATTAGAGATATCAGCTTCTGTGGTTCTACCTGGCTTTGCTGCCGCTCATTCTGCATCAGCTTTTAAGCATGACTTCCACAGAGCAAAGTAATCCATCACAGTCAAAGCCGGCAGAGGGTTGTGTTTCTGACAGGTGGAAATGGAATTCTCTTCCAAGACACAATCGCTCTGAACAACATGTCACCTGACAAACGGCACCCCCGCTAGCTGGGACTGAGGGGAAACCTCACAGTTTAAAAAGTGAAGCCAATGCAGAAGTGCTTTAGATTTGCATTCTCTCTAGTGTCCATCAGGGGGCGACTCCTCTGGTTGTATAGAAGTCTATGAGAAAATGACTCTACTTCTCTCTTGATTTATGACCTCAGTAAACATTGTAAACATGAGTTTATGGTCTCAATCTCTAGTTTCAAGTCTTCTTCAATACAGCATGATGTTCATTTAGTAAATGATGGTCCATTTAGAGTCAAATAGACCATAAAGCAGGGGATGCTTTAGGGCGGGGCTTACTGGTCTCAACCGCGGTTTTGTCCGGTCTGGGAGTTTTCGTCAAAGAACTTTAACCCTTTCACAGTGTGTTTTCAGTTCATAAAAGGTAATTGTAACATTTCCTAAAAATGTCTTGGTTAGCGTTTGGTTGTACAGAGCTCCACCCTCTTGTGTCACTTCTGGTTGCACAAAAACAAGATGGCAACGGCCAAAATGCTTAACTCGAGGCTTCTGAAGCGTAGTCCATAAACCAATGGGTGACGTCACGCTGACTATGTCCCCTTCACTTTAGATGCAGTAGTTCATTTCAAGCTAGGTGTCACTGTGAAGAGACAGTCAGGATATCGCAGCCTCGGCTGTTTTGTTTCACAATGTTTTTACATTTTAAAGATTTTTTTATAAGAGAAAAAAAAAGTGACTTTTTTTTTTTTTTTTAGAATGTTGCAGCCCTCATTCTTATACGAATGTCTTACTAATTAAATGTATTCAATTCATGCATTTGGCAAAACAATAGAGGCACGTAATCCCAACAAACACTACATCAGGAAAAATAAACTTTTTCACAGTGTAAAAAACGACGTCCAATCAGATTGCTCTGTCTGTCTGCCTCTGTCTGAACTGACTAACTTTACTCCGCTGATGTGCTCACTGCAGCATAATTATAGTCTGGATGACATTCTTTCCTGTTTCTCTCCAAATCAAACCAATAAAAGAAGTTTGTTGAAGAATCACAGGAGGATCTTTTGACAATTGAGTTTTGCTTTAGTTTGAGTTGAAGATGGCCTCGACACACTGGGGATGTTTGGTTGCTGCCAGAGCTGCCGGTTGTGAAACATAAGGCAGATTGACTGTATAAGGGTTACTGTGATGAGAGTTGATGGAATACTCATTCTTGTCTCTCTCTCTTTAAAGTCGTCAGAGTTCCAAAGAAACAGAGAGGACTGTCCTGCTTCTCTAGACAAACTACGGCAGCTGATAGAAGACAAAGTTCACGTCCTCCAATCTCACTTCACCGAGGAGCAACAGGTAAAAGATAACAACTCATCACAAACTGAAGCCTTTATGAAGCCTTATTACTTTGTGCTTTAGTGTTGCAAACCAGTAAAGGTTAATAGATGGCAAATCATTTCCGTAGAATGAAATTAATTATTATAATTATCATGATCATCATTATAATGAATATTATTTTTGTGCTTAAATAATTTCAAATATGTATCTCTGCAAAGGAATTGATGAATTAGTACTTGTACAAAGGGAGTTGCAAATAACAAATGATTGTATAAAGCAGAAATACAGAAAAAAGACAATACAGACATTACATTTACAGTACACAGCAGATACTAATACACAGTATAACACATACATAAAGGGTCGTTTGAGACATGATTAACAGCTAAAAGATGCTACATCTATAGACCACTAAGACCATCTAAAAGTGTCCTTTAAAAACATCTGACCGCTGCTGGAATAATGTACAGAGAGGTCCATCTGTGTTGGAGATGATATAAACTACATGTAAGCGGTGCATCACACTGCAGAGACCAGATATAATAGAATAATATGCAAGTGGATAATGTCGGCAACATTTTCCAGGTGGACACATTTTATGGAAACACTTTACTTTACACTTTAATGAGTTCAATCCTTACAAATGTCACTGAAGGTGGACAGAATCAGCTTCAGAGCAGCTTCACTGGAGTCTGACACACGACGCCTCCAGTGAAAAGAGTTCGATGATTATCACCAGCGTAGCAGAGCCATCAAGTGTCATTCTGTCTTTGCTGACGATGAAACGCATTTGAATGTTTTTAAAACACAAATCTTGGCTAGAGGGCACAGGGATAATTGCTCAATACTGCCTTAACTGCTTTCCCTCCTTACGGTTTTTAAAAGGGATTTGTTTTTATCGGCACTCTCTTTGTGCGTTTCTCTCGATCCTTCTCTCTATTCCTCTGTGGCAGTCCGTGTCCCTCTCTTTCCCTTTCCCCCGTTGTTGATCTCTCTCTCGAGGCGATGTTCAGAAAGACGGCTCCAAAGTCTTCCACTACTTTATTGAATGCTTGTCATTTTTTCAGAGGTCTTAGGAATAAAGGCAAAACTTTTCAAAATCCCCCAAAAATTCAAATTAGACCTATGTTGTCGCCGACTCTAAATGGTCAAACTGGAAGAAAGATCTGTAATCCTTCCGATTCAGCACTGAGTTTGAGTCAAATAATGATCCAGAGGACACAAATTAGTAATATTAATAATTATTAATAAGTACAGAAATGCCAAAGACAGTGTCACTGTTCCATAGTTTATGAAGCCCTCAAAATCTCTCCAAACCTTTTCATTTAGCGTCGCTGTGAACCTACCACAGGGTGCACTAGCTCGCTAATTATCGTCTCATTTGTCTTGTCTTTATAATTGTGGCCGATCTCAAATGACAGTTTTATGAAACTCACAGTCGGGTGTGTGCGCTCTGTTGTTGTGGTTGTATCCATGGTGCTGAGAGTACATAGAGCTATTTTTTTATATTCATTCGTTCTTTTTACCGACCTAAGTTTTGCGAGATCGTGCCAAAGTACATCAATATCAACCTGCACCGTTCAACCACCGATTGATTTGCCGCAGTTTAACCACCAGAGCGTAGCAGCGAGTTCATTTTTTTACACTACAAAATGTCCTGCCCCGTACATTCTCATGTTGCGATTACCACAATGCACCATGGCATGTAAGTGGTCCTAAATACTTTATCTCTGCGTTCTGCATTCACTGTAAAAAACACTGACATGGAAACAGCGTGCATGGATCTCTGGAACGCATAAAATGTTCTCCTTAAACCTCCGGGTTGTTTTTGTCTCGTTCGCCGCTGTGATTCTCTAAGCGAATCATTTTAAAGCCTGAAAACAACAAGCTGCAATGTGGACAGTGAGGACTACATCAGATTTGGCTGCTGTGTGAACATGAAGTCAGCTCGTCTCTCAGACTGAGTCACATGGACACAGACAGAGAGACAGAGAGACAGACAGACAGAAGACAGAGAGACAGACAAAGGGGAGGAGGAGGGTGACCACTGTGTTCTGCCAGAATGACTCAGTCAGTCTGTTGTCTTTCTGCATCTCACACTCGCAGCCTGATAAGACATAACCTACTCCAACTGTGTCCTCACTCGTCATGTCCTCCGGTGTCTCTCTTGCTTTTTTCCCCTTGTCCGCTCTGTTGATCTACTGTCAGTCTGTCCGTCTACCCTCCCTCTCTCCTCCTTCAGCCGGTGATTCATCACTCTCTTTTGCTTTACTCAACACGTTGCTATGTCTGACAAGCGGAGACGGCAGACGACTGAGAGCTGAGGTGTCCTGTGGGTACATTCTCGTAATGAACACAGGACAGACAAATGCTCCGTGAGTGATGATGTGTTATTTAGACTGGAGAGCCGAAAAAAATACAATCATGCTTTTATCGTCAAAAGACCCTTTTTTCTCTCTAAAAGGACATGCTGATGTGTTTTATGTATCTTAGCATGATAGCAGCAGATAAAGTCACAATAGACATCATGTAAACACACAATCATGGATTACTGATAATAATAATATATATTTCATATGTATGAAATATATAATATTATTATTATTATTAATCTAAGTGACATTTATAAATACATTTAAAAAACTTCCTTTTACAGATAATATAAAAAGCATGCATGATGCATTTGAAGTGTGATTTAAAGAAGTTCAACAGATGAAAAAGAGCCGGAAAACATTTTACATTTAAAATGAAATAAGTGTTAAAATAAAAGGTCAAAGAAACATGTAGGACTCTGTGTAACATAAAGCGCTGTTAAAAACAGAAAGGTTTGGCGAAAGAGATATGCTTTTAAGTGCTGCTTGAAAGTGTCAACAGAGGCCGCCTCTCTCACGTCTCGTGCTTCACAGTTTTGAAGCATAACTGAAAAAAAGCTGCGTCTCCAGTTTTCTGTTTTTGAGCGGTTTTGGGGAACCAGAACACCAGCAGTGGAGCATCTGAGGGCTCGTGGAGGACCATAGAGGGAACAGGGAGTCTGTGATGTGGGCCGGTCCTAAGCCCTTTAGAGCTTAGCAAGCAAAATGACTTTCAAAATCAATGCTGGAGGCTGGAGGTGGCCAGTGCAGCGTAGCTAAGACTGAAGTGATGTGGTCCCTCATCTTTGTATTCTCGTTAGCAGTCTAGCAGCAGAGTTCTGGATACGTTACAGCCTCTCAATGGATTATTGAAGGAAGACCAGTGAACGTGCATTGCAGTAGTCTATTATACTTGAGACGAAGGCCTGCATTCATTTCTCTGCACCTTGCTGCGTAAAGAAAGGCCGTCATTTCGCAATCTGTCTTAAGACTAAGAGAATTAATTGTTGAGGAAATGTTTTGCTTTTCCTAATTACTGCAACTTCCAATATGGCTGCCAGAGGGCGCGTTGCCAAGCTTTCTATAAGTTCTTCTTCTTCTACTTCAGGGTTGGGTGTGCGAGGAGAACACAGGTACAGGAGGACTGTGGAGGTTTGCCGTTGTGAGCGAGGAGCTGACCTTTCACCTCCAGCAGCTGCAGAGACAGACAGAGCAGGAGCTCAGCAGCATACACGCACAGTGAGTCAGTGACATGTGACGTGTTTGGTACAGAGAGGCTGCTGTAGGCTGTACATATGAGGGGGAACACGGAGCCTTTATTTCTTTGCATTGGTCTGTTGCCACCGCAAAGGAGGACGTTATATTTTTGGGTTGTCTGTCCGCAAACACACGCAGTCATACACACGGTCCATTCTCGTGAACGCGGTATCTCATCTGTAGGGGATGATCTTTCAATTTGGCACGAGCCTGAACTGATTAGACTTCAGTGGTCAAAGGTCAAAGGTGGAAGTCACTCTGATCTCACGTCCGTCCCATTCTCATATCTCAGGAAGACCTTGAGGGAATTTCTTTTCACATTTTGCACAAACTCAAGGATGAGCTGATTCATTGTGACAATTTCAATCACATTCAGGATAAAATGAGGAAGTGACGATATTTTGGGCAGACATGGATGTGAACTGCAACTTCACCGGTTGGCAGAGGCATGGAACCGTGTGGCGGTAATTCTAGTTCAGTGCTCAAGGACAATTCAGCAGGGTAGGTGCTTGCTGAGGGTTGAACCTGAGTCGTGTGTGAAGGACAGTTTCTTCCTTGTATCTCGACCCTGCTGCCCTTCACAAATGAACACAATTGTCTTTTTTGATACTATTTTCTTTCCAAAAGTTTGGAAGCACTCCCTCATAAAATATGATAGTAAAAATGTTTGGGTCCTTAAAATATTGATTCTTTAAGCAGGGCATACAGTGCTCATACAGGGTACTGACTGTAATATAAATAGATACAAACACACACCACGGATAGAAATTCAGAAAATAACAAAAGAACAAATGTCCTTCGCCTTCATTCTTCTTCAATCCTGCTTCTTTACATTTAACAATATTCTAAATATTCCCAAATATGACATGAATGTTGTATTTTGTCAAAATCCTTTACTTCTTCTTTCTGAAAGTGGACTCTGGTCTTCATATAAATCGGGAGCGTGTCGTGTTTGAGCATGTAGGAGTCGGAGCCTCCATGCTGGTTTCTGGGGTTTTGTCACAGAGCTGAAACACGGATGTGGGAGTTTCACTGTATCTCATAACGGCAGCAGGTTCTGCTCCGCCGGAGAGGACAACAGGATCCAGCGTGCCTGCCTTTGTGTGTGTGTGTGTGTGTGTGTGTGTGTGTGTGTGTGTGTGTGTGTGCACGCTCCAGAAAAATCTCCCTTTGTGAGCCTTTGAGCTTAGATTGATTTGTTACTCTATGTGTGAATATGTACTCTTCCCAAAAGTCAAGAATGAATGAGTTTTTATTTTATTCTTCTATTTCCTTGCTTAGTTGCATGAAGATCTGATCCCAGTGATCATGTGACCCTCTCTGAGTGGAACTGTTGTACAGCATTCTTTTTATGTGAAATAATGCCAGACTGTAACTACTTATCACTTCTGTCTGTCAACGTCCCTGCGGGCATTTGGAAACTTCATTTAAACTGTTCACAATGTTCGTTACAAGTCATAAATCTCATAATGACAGACAAACTGTCATGTGTAACTCCTACTGTAGTATTGATGTAGATGTAAAAAATATATATATATATACTATACTATAATATACAGCTACACGTAAAGTACTTTGGGGGTCCGGTGCACCTCAGCAGTGGCCAAGAGGCAAACTGGCACCACAAAAAGTCTGGACAGATCTGAAGCCCTGAAACTTGTTTTTATAAAAAATAGAAAATTCCTGGTTTCCGCTCTGCGTGACTCGTTAACGGTAAGCGTTCAGATGGTTGTATAGGTGGCTGCTGCCTCACCCTGTGTGCTCCTCTTCTCTATAATCCTGCCATGACAGGCAGTCTGGCACAGCAACACTTCTACTGGTTCTCGGTTCTGTAAGACGAGACAAGCTAAAACACATCTCGGGATTCAAGGTGTGCCACACACCCAGCTGCACACACACACACAAAAGCGCAAATTATTCTGACAAATTTCCAGGGAATCATCTTCTATTTCTCAGCAGCGTTGGTTCTCATCGCCAAGTGGTCTGCCCTTCTCACAGCTTGGATCAAAGGCTTAATGAGAGGCGCTGACTGGTTCCTTATTATACATATAATATGCCTCCATCGTGTTGCCCTGCCCAACATAACATCCACTTGGCTTACTGGAAGAAGACGTCACCTTGCTTTCATTTTGCTGGGGGTTTTCCTTGGCTTTAAGTGAGGTAATGTCAGCGCCAAGACAGGGTCGGGCTTTGTGTGGGAAAAGAAGAGAGAGAGACGAAATCAAGCAGCTTTCACGCCGAGAACTTCTGGAACAGTTCCTCAAAACTCTGCTTTAGCTCAGTTTCTTTGTCAAGGTGATAGCAATGCCTTCTTAAAGTCTTCTAACACAGAATTGTGAAAAGTAAGAACATAATCTCAACAAAGTTGTAACCCTCACGGCTCTGCGTTGGAGCTAAAGCAGACGGTAACGGCCTTTCGGACCAAACTTTTCTCAGTGTAGGACGAAGAGCATTACGTAAAGCACTGCCACCCTTACAAAGCAGCAAACGTGCATTATAATCTTTTTTTTATCCTCTTTATTTGATAGTTATAATCCATTACGGTATTGCTTCCCAAGAAATCAAACAAAATGGCAATAATTATGTGCGTCGCCAACCCTGAACCACTTTAGTGAAAAAGAAGAATTTCAACTTCCTCATGAATCTGTTTAATGAGTAGACTTTGTGTTTAGTTATTGGAAGCATTCAGAGCAGGAGGTTGGCCCAGCATGCAGTGTTGTTGAAGTGCCTTTGAACTTTGACCTTCCAGCCTGTAAAGTTGGGAAACACCGATGTATAAAAGTAATTTAGCGTACATGTAGGAGGAATTGTCTGTTTGTTTGTTTTTACATGCACAAATGTACGTAGAAGAGGAATCATAAAGGATCAGCTGTTGTTAAATCTGTCAGAATGTGACGAATCGCGTCTTGTTTTTTATTCTGCTACTTCCTTACACCCGCATGTTACTTATTAAAGACACTCAATACTGCCTATTTCCTTCTACTACAATTTTCAGGGGGACTACTTTCTTTCAGTAGGCTAGAAAGACGAAACGTTTTGTGGGTTTTCGAGAGTAACAAGGCCAGTGGCTCTGGAAAGAAACATGACTAGGGCTAAAGACTACTTGCTCTATTGTTTTGTTTATAAGCAAATTGTGGAAAATGTGCGTCACAATTTGTTTATGTATTGTAACACATTTATTTCTAAAAAAGTTATTTGATTGACATGAACAGAAGACAAAAAACCAGGTGGCGCTCTGGCTGTGGCGCTCTGGCTGTGGCGCTCCATTGTATTGTAGAGGCCGACATCTCAAAGACCTGAAACCTGAAGATGGATACAGTGAGGTCTGTTTGAACTGACCCTCAGATGCAAGATAGCCGTAGCAGAATAATACATAACTAAACTAAACAAACCCGGATTCTTTACACTTCGATTTTGATCGTCATTGGCAAACTGTGCTGATATTAACTGGGTTTACTGAAGTAAATCACCTGCTCTGTTTAAAAGCAAAGGCAGTAAGAACCCGCAGCACGCGGCTGAGGAACAGATGAGGTCTGACGGTGTTGTTTTCACTGCTATTTTCCCATAGATAAACAGAAACTGTCTTTGCTGTGGTTACGCAAGGAGAGTTCATGTTGCCAAGACTAACAGCCAGTTTGGAAAACACCCAGCTGAACTCTGCCAATTCTCTCCTCGTCTTCATCTTCATCTTCATCTCTGAAGGATAATGTGGTCATCTCAGTACTTGTTTTTATTGTTTCTTTTTCACTTTCTTTCCTCTATGATTTGCTCACATCGTTCTTTCCAATAGTTGTGTAATAGAACAACACTAAACGTGTTTTATCTTGTCTTCATCCCCTTCTATCTGTCTTTCCTCCGGTTCACCCTGTCAAAACACTTCTGCTTCATCTTTGCATTCTCCGTGCTCCCCTCAGCTGTTTATTGTCTTCCCCTCAAGTCTTTCTGCTCTTTCTGACCATTCTACTCCTGTTTGTACTCAATATCTTTCCGTCACTCCTCTTCTTCATTTCCACTCTTTTTATTATTTTGATTCATAAGGCTGCAACTGATCTTCCTTAATTCAACATGTCGATTGATGAATCCTGGAGTCTGTAAAATGCCAGTACGACCAACAGTCCAAACGATATTTAGTTCAAAGTAATGATGATAAATAAAATGGAGAAGAGATTGTAACGCCTGGTTCCAACAGGCAGCAGCCTGAAAAAAGAGAAGCCAATGCTGACGTGCCTTAAACTTGCACTCCTTCGACTCACCAGCCGGGGGCGACTCCTCTGGTTGTATAGAAGTCTATGAGAAAATGACTCTACTTCTCTCTTGATTTATTACCTCAGTAAACATTGTAAACATGAGTTTATGGTCTCAATCTCTAGTTTCAAGTATTCTTCAATACAGCATGATGTTCATTTAGTAAATGATGGTTCATTTAGAGTCAAATCCAAGGAGGGTATGCTTTAGGGCGGGGCTACCTTGTGATTGACAGGTTGCTACCACTGCGTTGTCCAGTCTGGAAGTTGTAGTGTTTTTTTTGTGTTTTTTTACTTCAACCCGTTTGTGTTTTCAGTTCATGAAAGTTAATTGTAACATTTTGGTCCAATTGGTAAAAACATAAAAAAGTCTTACTCAGCTTTCGGTTGTACTTAGCTCCGCCCTTCGTGTACTGCTGGTTGCAAAAAACACGAGACAGCGACGGCCGAAATCCAAGATGGCGTCGGCCAAAATGCTGAACTCGAGGCTTCGAAACCGCAGTCCACAAACCAATGTGTGACATCATGATGACTATGTCCACTTCTTATATAGGCTACAGTCTATAATTTGAACTTGCAAACAGAAAAGTTTATTTATGATTGCAGATATGCATGTAGAAAATGTTAACACAAACACTATGAAGCTTGTTCATTTACATACACGTCTACAGCGTCACCTTTGTCTACGATAGAGACGATGTGCGGACTGGATTTTATCCATTGAAATGGATTCTTTTTGTGCTGTACAGGTGTACGCACATCAGTTTATACATCACGTGTGACTTCCACACAGTGGGAATTTGATATGTGACGAGCTGCAAGTGGTGAGATACATTAAGTTAATGTAAAAGAAAAAAAAAAAACGCATAAATAACGCCCACACACTTTTCCACCTGCAATTATAGAGTGAAATGTGTTTGGCACATACATGCAAGCAATTATGGAGCCCTATTCACGCGTTTCTGTATGTTAGCACCTAATCAGAATACACTGACAGCTGGCTGTGTGTGTGCGTGTGTGTGTGTGTGTGTGTGTGTGTTGTTAACACACATTGATATTCATTGGTAATTACTGTCTTTTCACACCGATGGATGATTTTACCCGTCACCCGCAGCGTTTTAATGAAGCCATTTGATTGGTTCAGATCAGTTTTGATTGACAGGTGACAAAATAGCTCACTCGCACAAAGCTTCAAAGTCTTGAAATCTCCTCGAGATTCCTCTCAGGACTCTGACTCCTGCTGAACACTGAACTGACACACAGCAGAGAGAGTTCTGAGCTGAAGTTAAGATAGTGTGAGCTTTTACATTCCTGGTTCTCACAGAACACTGGAGTTGGTTCCCTGTAATGGGAGATGTGTTCATCTGTAGTGAAACACATAAATCCACTTGAACAGGACTGAGTATTGAACTCTAATACTTCTTACCGCCAGCATGGAATGTGCGATCACATATTTACGCCTGTTTGCTGTTTTCTTCAGTGAGATATTTCCTAAAATCTAAAACAAAGTTGTGAAAGATAACCAGCCCCAAAAGTTCCGACTTCAGAAACGTCACCAGTCGTTAATAAACGTGATGGAGAAACAGATGGAGGCGCTGTCTGCTTATTAAGACTCAAATCAACTCAGAAAAGTCTGTAACTTCACCGCAATGAAGCCTTTTTACATTTAGGCTGTATTACATTGTTTATCACATTTAAATCAACATACATATACATACATATACTGTATACAAATATTAATATTACAGTGGAATTTATTTGGGTTTGAATAACACTTTTATTTAATTGAATTATGATTATCCATAAACCTCCAACAGAAAGCCGATAACTTACCTAAAACCAGCGGACAGACAGAGTTCATCTCGGCCTTTAAGGTCTTTCTTCACATTTCTGTCCTTCTCATAACGCAAACAGTGGAGTCCTTGAAAACCTCATTAACAGAGCGTTCATATATTTCCCGGAGGGCCTTTGTGTTGCTGCGCCGTTGTTTGTGTCGTTTGCCACTCGTTTGTCTTTCTCTACACGTCGATGTCGCTTCTTCAGTCAGCTCATCAAAGGCTTCCCCCTCAGAGGAGCCTCTTCTTCTTCTTCTTCTTCTTCTTCCTCCCCAACAAAACACTTGTCTCATCGCCTGCTGTTCTGCCTCTCTGTTACAGAGGGTTAGTGCCTCCCAGTGGACACACGGTCAACTACACTCTGATGTCTCACTGCAGTGCTGTGTACAGAGGGCCTTCATTTCTGGCTGTACACTTATTATATAGCCAGATATAAATGAATAAATACTTTTCATTTGGCCCCTTGTTGTTACTACCACAATTATTGTGCTTCTGCTACTAGGTTGCTAAACTAATAATACAACAACTAGTACTATACTGCTGGTTTAGATACTGCTGCTCTTACTCTTACTACTACTCTGTTCTGCCTTACTAGTATTAATAGTACTTTTAGTGTTGCTGCTAGTGCTCTTATGTATTTTACCAGTAGAATTACCACTTCTACTGCAACTAGTACCAATAGTACAAGCACTAGTACTACTGCAACTAATGCTATAGTTAATACAACTCTACTACTCCTTCTACTGCTAGTACTCCTTCTACTTTGCACTGCTACACTGACTACACAAGTAATACTGTTGCAACGATTGGTACTACTATACTGCACAGACAGTAATAGTAGTACCTGCAGGCTTCTATCACTACTACCAAGTAGTACTACTTGTACACACACTAGTACTGCTACTATTGCACTGCTGCTACCACTAGCACTTCCATATTTATTACCAACAGCACACTGTTGTTACTTTATACATTTACTGCTGATCCGACAGTTACAAGTGCCCCTATTTTTGTCTAGTGGTGCTAATATTTGTACTGCTTTTACTCCAGGTACTAATGTCTTCTACCTAGAGGACTGGCATCAGCGCTATTATTAGTAATACCCCAAGTGTAGTACAAGTATTGGTACCATTACATCTACTGCTGCTGTATGAAAAAGCTGTTAGTGCTACAAAAGTAATCAAAATACTTTTCAAAATTGCAGTTCTGCAATTTTCAAATTGCAATATTTGTTAAATAATTGTGTGTCAGAACATAGTTTACAATTAAATATCACCACGCTGCTTAGATGTCCCGGCCTGAACACCAGATTCTACAGACTTAAGAAACAATAGTTCAAAAACATTTTTGAACATGTTTTTTTAATAAAAATCGGAATAATTATATTAAAATTGTCATTCCCTCGGATATCAATAATCAAATAGCAATATCAGTCATAATAATCACAACTTGATATTTTCTTTTAATTCCCTACTCCTACTAATACTACTACTATTATACTGCCACTAGGACTAGTGCCATTTCTTGTATTATTACTATTTCTACTCTGACTGTTAGTCCTGCTGCGATCTATACCGCTACTCTCTGACGACCCAGAAGCACAGAGACATTCAAAGCATTCAAAGCAGCGTAATTAGTCAACACTACTCTGAGTACAACCTGAAACCTCAACTTCTGCTACAGATGAATGCAGTTTATAGAGATTAGCCTGCTGCTACTCTGCTCTATGTATTTAAAGTGACATCCCTTTACAGTAGAGAGATAGGAGTAAACAGTGGACTGTAATCCTGAAACAGTGCATGGTGCTGTGTATGTAGCGTGTGGTGAGTGTGTTTTTTAAATATTTGTCTGCTGTTAACGTTGAGCATTAATCATTAACTCTGCATCAGCTGCTCAGCTCTGTGTGTATCTATGAAAACACTGCAGTGTTTGTTCAAGGAAGGGAATATTTCAGTTTGCTTTGAGGGCTCGGAGAGAGAGCGGAGGGTTGACGGATCAAATCCCGAGACCTTTCATTTTATTCTTTTTATTTTTTTTACATCCCAAAACAACTTCTGAAAGTTAATTTTCATTTCGCATCAATGAAAATGCGATGCTGTATCCATCGTCTGTGTGTTCTCAGGCGAATCGCTCAGCTGCTGTAAGAACAACAGAGAACAGACAGGTCCGCCCTGTCCTGTTGTCACTGAACTCATGTTGTGTGTTCAGGGAAAATATATATATATATATATATATATATATACTGCAGCACCTGAAAAACTCCCATTGTGTGCACCGACAGAAACACAATTTGAATTTTGAAAGTTTTCAAGCACATGCTTCATTTTGCATGAGTCTTCGTATTAATGTGTGTTTTTATGAGCCAAAGAAAAGTTTGAGAGACTTCTTGTCATATTAATATGTGCAGAAGCTCTCCATTTTGATTGTATTTATTTTCTTCCAAATGAATAATATTCTGTAGTGACGCATGTTTAGGGCCGTATTGAGTAGTAAAGTATAAAGAGGGCCTATTCTCTTGTTTAGATTACCACTAACCTTACCATTATGTTTCTATTATGTGCTGTGAGAGAGCTCTCTCTAATATTATCAAGGCCCAATGTTGTCCAATCAAATCTCAACCAGTCAATCCACAAACAGTCCAGTCCACAATCCCAGAAATCGTGTCTTATTCTAACTATTTGTATAAGGAGATATATATATATATATATATTTTAGCTGTCCCAATTGGAAAGAAAATAGCATTTTGTAAACTAAATGTTTTTGTGTTTGTTGTCAGACTCTTGCAGATTGAAGGCCGCCGGCAGCTGCTGACCACTGAGCTCTTTAGTCTTCAGGAGAAGAAGAAACAGACCGAACGGGAGCTAAAGAGGAACTCCAGCCTTCAGACGTCCACTGTAAGTGACCACAGCAGGGAACTGCTCTACACACAGACCACAGTGGTTCAAAAAAATATTATATATATATATATATATATATATATATATATATATATATATATATATTTACTTATGCATGTTGCAAATGCTAAAGAGTTACACTGCAATATGATGATATGCATTCAATATAATCAGTAGTAAATATCTATTAGGTGGCTAAAGGAACCTTAACTTTATACAGCACCTTTCTGAACAACTTCCCCCACTTCCAGCTGTGTGCTTGTCGGGAGCTTCAGGCTTCCGTCACCGAGTGTCTGCTCCAATCAGAGAGGTTGGTGTTCCAGGAGGAGGCACTGAGCGCGCTTCGCAGCCTGCTGACCCAAGACCTGCAGAGGTACCGGGAAGAGACGCGGAGGCTGACCTGTTCCACGCTGAAAATACTCGCGCAATCCCACAGGTAGCCAACTCCACATCCTGTTTTAATACAAATTATAGTTACATTTAAATTTGTAATTCAGACTAAAAATAACATTTAAACTTTATGTTTTTGCTTCAGAGAGGAAACGTCCGCCAGCAGAGCGAGTGACCGCAGCATGCAGGGAACGAACGAGACGGAGCAGGAAAACAACATGGTATGGTTCAACTCAGCATCTCATCTCTGTTGGCTTTTATTCTGCTTGCTCGTTCTTGACACAGTCAAGGGCTCTAACAAACAATGCCTAACGGTACTCATTGTTTGTATGCTGGAGGGCTTTTTGGGCCTAACAAACCAAACTAACAACACACCTAACCCTGTAGCTACCGTTGTGTAGGGTTAGGGGTTCAGCTAACACTCCAAACAAAGTAGATCTGGGCATTTTCAATTCAAACTTCCTGTACCAATCAGGATGCACTTTGGACAATCATACAAGGAACAATCAAATCAAATCAAATCAAATTGGGAGCCTTGCCAAAGCCCAATGCCTCTTCCAAGGGGTTGTGCCCAAAGGCTGTCAACACCTCACTGAGATCCTAACTCATCTTGAACCGCTTATCCTGTTCAGGGTCGAGGGGCGCTGGAGCCGATCCCAGCTGACATTGGGCGAAGGCAGGGTACACCCTGGACAGGTCGCCAGTTCATCGCAGGGCACATCCATCCATTAGTATGTAAAATAACTTAAAGGGCAAAATGTTACAGCTCTCAGAGGCAAGAAAGTATCACGGTGGTTCGGACTTCAATCAAATCTACAATATTTTTGTTCACAAACAAACAAAGCAAAGCAAAAATAAAAAGCGTAAAGAAGCGTTTGAATGCAGTTTTGTTGAGGTAGAACAGTAACACTGTGTCTTTGTGTACCTGTGTGTGTGTGTGTGTGTGTGTGTGTCTGGCATTGGTCCAGCTGTTGTCAGTCTTTCTCAGACAGTCAGTTTGGAGACAGAGGAAACATCTGCCTGCTCATCTGGCTCTGTCTGTCACACACACAGATGCAGACCTACACACACACACACACACACACACACACAGGATCATTTCCCTAAAAAAAACAACAACAAAAAAACCCATAATAGACTGACACAGTTGTGACGGGGAACGATGAGGGAAGAAACCTGGTTTGGAGTCTTATTATAACAGGAAACCTGTCAAAGTGTCACCACAGTTTAACTTGTGAAGCTTATACACAAACAGCAGACAGGCCGGCTGCCAACATGCTGCTGCGTCTCCCGCACAGAAATACAACATGAATCAGGCTCATCCTTTGCAGTACGCACCGGTTCTCATTGAAGAACACCGGATTTTTTCTTTAAAGCAGAATTTAAAAGTGAAACTGCACCAAAAAAAAATCAATAATTTGAGAGTTTTTTGAGTATATTTTGGAAGGTTGAACTTTATAGTTTGCTTCTTCACATTTGACAGCACAGTTCATTCAGTATCGGGTCCAAATAACTTCGATGGATCACAATGGACAGTTAAGCATCAACACATCAACGCTTTACCGCCATTTTCCAATTCCAGCCCGTTCTCACTCCCAAGTCGCCAAATACGACAGCTCGAGCAGCGGCACTACGCGTCAAACTGTGACACTTCACATGGCCGTAGTTATGACGAGGAAATAAAGGAGGACGTCAGGTGACGTAGTATAAAGAGGGATGAAGTCGGCATTGGGAGGAGCTCGGAGAAGACGGCTGTATGTGTCCCATGTGAAACCACAAGTCAACGTTGACTTTTTTAAAGTTCCGTAACAAAGTACTCAACGTAGTTTACCCAACATACGTACGTAACGTAGCCTACGTAGCTCGGTAACCAACGTAGCTATGTTAACCAAGGTGTTTGGAAGTTTATTTTGAAAAGACAATGCATAAAGAGTGGAAATTGACACGTGTACAGCTGATGCTGGAAAAGTACTGTACATAGATCTACTGACCAGGCTGCCGTATTTAACCAATTGGGTCTGAGGAAGTATTTCTGAAACAAACAAATAAATTCATGGTTTGACAAAACCTGTCACCTTAGTCATTGATTTAATGTCCTGACAGCTGACGTCACTCGGAAAGTGGATTTAAGTGGAAATAGGTCAACTCGGTTTAGAACTGGATTTAACAGCTGACAGAATTTCGAGACTTTGGTTTGTGGAATTGTATAACCCTGATTGCCCCCCAAAAAAACTATAGTCCATAAAGCAAGAGGCGAATGACATCATGTTGTTTCTGTTTCGTGCAGCAGCTCTCTGTGGATAGGGAGGAGGATTCAGACCCTCGACACCTTCAGTCTCACGCTTCGTCCCGTTAATCTAGACGAGCCGCTCTGCACCGAAGAGAGGCTCGGTAACCTCTTTATCAGATTATGAAGTTAATCTGTCTGAAAATGAGCCAGGATTTGTATAATCGCACATCATTTTGATTAGACATTAAATCTAAATGAATCCAATCAAAAACCTCCAAATCAGTGATCCATCCTGGTTTGGGGACTTATGTAGCCCACACACACACACACACACACACACGGGCACCGTGCAGTCTGCTGAACGTGAGCTCCTGCATGTCCAGGGTTCTCTCTCATGTTGTGGGTTAAGGCCTCAGCGGCACGACATACCGCCCCCCCCTTCACTCCGCCAGTACAAGGCGGGACTGCCTCTACACTGCCTCGCTGTTGTGTTTTAAAATGTACGGAGGCAGACGTCTGTGTAAAAGAGACGCCGTGTTGAACACCACGCCGTTTTTAATATTCTTTATTATTCCATCATTATTTGGGCATTATAACGGCATGTTATGTGCAATCTGTATAAAGGGGCTGTTGTAGAACTGCATTATAAATACGAATATTACTGATTATTATCATTATTATTAAGAGCTGAAGTGAGAACTATAAATGTGTAAATTACAGTGAGACCAGGCGTTGTCCGATTATGGATGCATCAGAGGAGCAGCTGGATGAGCTACTCTGCACTCAGAGACAGAAAAACACTCTTCGTAATTAAAGAAAAAAACATGAATCTCTGCAGAACCTCAACAATGCAGAAAACATGTTCTATAAAGGTAGGACACAGGACACAGGTGCAATTAGTCATCAGATGAGGACATCTGGGGTGCAAAGACATCTCTGCAGCTTTATGCTCATGGGGAAAATCTGTTTTGTTAATGTTTTCTGTGATGAGGCTTTTTGTTTCATAATATTGCAATTTGATTCCATTGTATAGAGTCTAAAAAGACAATGTAGTTTCGGACGGATGCTGGATTATGTTCTCACGTGCATGAAAAGGTCAACACACTGTTTATGTGTTTTTATTCTGGTTGATATTTATGATGGACCAGAATTTGTGTCACAAAGTCTTTTATACTTTAGTACGCGTTGGATTTAAGAGACGTGTTCTTGGTTTGGATCGTCAACACATTTCATTAGTTCCAAAACAACCTTATTTATGAAATGTGACATGTGTACGCTGAGCATAAACACAATATATAAAAATAGAGAAATAAATCCCATCGCAAGCCCAAGACGATTTTGAAACGATCCAAAACTCCAAAAAATACCGTCTACGACCAAATAAGACAGGAAGTGAATCCACACATTAGACGCTGGCATCCAATCATGTTTTGGCATTTTTTTAGATAATTGATTAAAATAGGTAATTGATCATCAAAATATTTGCCTATCAATTTTCTGTCGACCTGTCGAATCGATGAATCGTCTCAGTTCTACAAGACAAACAATCCATAAATTACCATGTATAGCTTTTCAAACGCATTTTCAAATTTTCGGTCTTCCCTTACTAAGCCGCTTTTAATTTTCCATATTTAACATATCCCTAATAGGCATATTTGACAGGCTTAGCCAGCGATCATACATCTGAGCTCATTTTTGTTATTCCCACGGGAAATAAAGAGACATCCAGGATTGGCTTGACCAGATTCCAGTCTGAGCTGTAACAAATATTGCCGTTGAAGGGATAATCGTCGGCTGAGCAAGGTGTAAAAAAAACGGGCTGGCCTTAAGGCGAGGACGGAGCGCCGGTTGGTTAATAATCTCTGTTATTTACAGTCATGGGGAGGGGAGGAGGGGTGGGGGGTGGGGGTCAACAACAACAACACAGGAACATATTGCCAAGCAGATTGCTGAGGGGCAAACGGAGCTGGACATTCCATACGTGTCCGACACAAGACTCCCACCGCTAATTGGTCATTTTTTTATTTTGCTGTTATTTACTCCCTCTGTCTCTCTCTTGCTTTTGTGTGTGTGTGTGTGTGTGTGTGTGTGTGTGTGTGTGTGTGTGTGTGTGTGTGTGTGTGTGTGTGTGTG